TGCAGGGTGTTCAGTTATCTGCAGGTTAAAGTAATGGGTAGTTTTGAAAGTTTTTCTTTTCTTTTCTTATCTTTTCTTTTCTTTTCTTTTCTTTTCTTTTCTTTTCTTTTCTTTTCTTTTCTTTTCTTTTCTTTTCTTTTCTTTTCTTTTCTTTTCTTTTCTTTTCTTTTCTTTTCTTTTCTTTTCTTTTCTTTTCTTTTCTTTTCCTGCTTCTTCCTTTTCTTCTGCTTCTGCTTCCTCCTCCTCTTCCCTCTCCCCCTCCCTCTCTTCCTTCTCTTCACTCTCTTCCCTCTTCCCCTGTTTCTCCTTCTCTTCCTCTTCCTCTTCCTCTTCCTTCTCCCTCTCCTCCTCCTCTTTCCCCTTTTCTTTCTTTCTCTCAAACCTCCTCCTCCTCCTCCTCCTCCTCCTCCTCCTCTTCCTCTTTCTCCTCTTCCTCTTTCTCCTCCTTCTCCTCCTCCTTCTCCTCCTCCTTCTCCTCCTCCTCCTATTTCCCCCTTTCCCTCTCCTCTTTTCCCACACCACCTCCTTCTCCTCCTCTTCTTCCTCCTTCTCCTCCTCCTCCTCCTCCTCCTCCTCCTCTTCCTCCTCCTCCTCCTCCTCCTCCTCCTCCTCCTCCTCCTCCTCCTCTTTCCCCTCCTCCTCCTCTTTCCCCTCCTCCTCCTCTTTCCCCTCCTCCTCCTCTTTCCCCTCCTCCTCCTCTTCCTTCTCTTCCTCCTCCTCTTCCTCTTCCTCTTCCTCTTCTTTCTCCTTTCCTCCTTTCCTCTTCCTCCTCCTCCTCCTCCTTCCCCTCTTCTCCTTACCCTGACCCCTGACCCCTCCTGTCTCCTCCATCCCCTCCTTCCCAGTTCTCATTCCATTTCCACCCAACTGACCTCCGTGTCGCCCATCCTCCCGCAGGTGGCAAAGAAGAAAGCCGAGATGCACGACAAGATGGTGCTGGACATCACGCGCCAGGGGGGCCTCCCCACGGTGCTGTCCTTCGTCTCCTCAGGGATCAAGAAGGTGGGGTCGTCTCCCCCCAAGGAGAGGGGGATGTCCTTCTTCAAGGCCTCGTCTCCCCCCAAGGAGTCTGGCGGATTCATGACCAAGGACTGGAAGCCGTTCCCTCCCTTCTTCATGCCAGACAAAGGTAGCTAGGGCTTCCACACTTGAAATCCAGTGGGAATGGATCCGTTTGAGTGGGTTTCTGTGATGAATCTGGAGTGCTTCAGCTGCCAGTCTCACTATAATTATTGTCATTATTATTTTTTTTGTTATTATTAGATTATAATGATAATAGTAATTATTATTATTATTGTTATTAATATTATTATTTATTATTATTATTATTATTATTATTATTATTGTTATTATTATTATTATTATTTTTATTATTACACACATTATTATAATATCTATTATTGATATTATCAATAATAGATATTATTGGTATTATTATCATAACCATAACCATTGTGTTTGCCATTTTTATTTTTGTTATCATGATTATATATGTATTTTTCAATATTATTATCTTTTATTTATTGTTACAGTTATGTACTTTATTCATTATTATTTAAAACAGATAACCATTTTTTTTTTTTTTATGTCATTTATTTTCTTATGTTTAGTGTGTGATTCCTGTTCCACTAATCTCTCCTCTGGAAGTGGATTTGGCAGACAATTTGATATTTGATCCATTAGCTGCAAATTTATGCAGGTCGCCATAACACTCCACAAGTGCTCAGTTGCCAAGGAGTCAGTCAGTGAGCCCTGCTGACTGCCTAATTTCATCATTTCTTTAACTTAAGAAATAAAAATAATAATAAATGATAATGATAATAACAATAATCTAATGCTGTTAATACTGATACTGATATTATTACTGACATTATGATTATTATTGTCTTATTGAAATATTAATAACAATAAAGATAATTTAATAATTTAAAAAATATTTAAAAAATCAAGGAAAAGGGTAAACAGGTGAGATGTAGAGGACTCATAATTGACTTTTCAGCAACTAAGCACTTGTGGAGCCATCTGTGTAAACACAGTTAATAAACAAAATATACAGTGCACATGGCACATATTCTTGCCTTTAGCAGCTAGTGGGTTAAGAAAGTGGTCAATCCAGTGTTAGTTTCCAAGTCATGGATCACAGAGGGGAAACACACTATAGTTGAAAATATTTGAATTGGGCCTCACATGCTGCTTTTCATAATCCATGGTCAGGTTTGCCCCTCTGTGCGTGCATCTACACACCTTGCCTCAAAAGTTCACAAAACAGAGGAACACCACAATGGGCATGTTCATTCATCTGCTGACATACTCCTGGGTTGAGGGACAAAACCAATACACTGCTCTTGATGTTCCTTTGTACATGGGGCAGGGTGTGTGGACATCTGCATATGGGATCAAACTGATCTTAGAATAAACAGACTCAGAAGCTATGCATTTAGGTGTGCAGACAGACTTGCAAGGTTCCTTTGAGTCATATACTACTTCTCCAGCTTTTTCT